AACATAAATAAGATACTCAAAATCAGTCTAACAAGTGATGATTCCACCTAAGTGGCAAACATAACATATGCCAGAACATAGAGATAAATATGGATTCAGAGCATAGACACCAAGATATCAATCAAAACAATGATGGTGTTGCCTTAATGGTAGACTCCAAATAAGTACTTCATGGAATGTGATCGGAAAAGCGCCAAAAAAAACACAAGAACCAGTAAAACATAAGTAATATATCATGAAAAATCATCAGATTTAATACCTAAAAGCCTTGAAACAGGATAATGTTCTGGAAACTTAAGATCAGTAATCCCATCCAAAGCATAAACTTCTCTATAGAAATCCTCCATTGCTTTGATTGTCGAATCCTCAGGAACCTTATTTGCAGCATGAATCCAAAGACGACCTTCAGTGATCAAGTTCAGAATATAGAATCATCCTTACTAAACCACATCCACAAAGGAAGAAGAAATAAACTAACAAAAGATATGCCAATAAGACAATCATTTAGAGTTTAGGGTTGGATGATACAAAGGGTCAACAGCATAGCAACTTCAAACACATGAATCCCCAATTCTACTTCTCAATTCCACTTTTCTTTTGTGTTATTCGAACATTCAACAAAAGTAGATTTGAAATGACATGGGATTTGGAGAGAAACGAACCTCTGAGGGGAGCAGACCAGGACCTGCCCTCGATGCGTTTGATTCCATAGACCAGCAGAGAAGCCCATGGCTGATGCATCGTCAAACATGGGTTCGAAAGATTCCCAGAATTCCTTCCTTTCATCGTTTCTTCACGCTAAGAGATGCAGAGAATTGGGAACCAGTGGCGGGTCGGGATGAAATTGAAACCAAATGGGTTTGCGAGAATCGAGGGTTTGTGGAAATCCTCGGCAAAGATATGCCGTTTTATATTATATAATTACAGATTTTGAAATTTTTATAAATTAAGATAAGAAAAAGATTTAAATTTGAAATTAAAAAAAGATAAAATCGATTATCTTCTATATTATAATAGGATTTGGAAAAATTAATATTAATATTTAAATAAACTCAGGACGGCTCAGAGTACTCTGCAATTAACTCCAATTTGAGTAATTCTTAGAAAGAAACAACAATGTCTGATAATCTAAACTCCATCAGTTCTAACTCGTTTCAATGGATGGACAATTTCAACCAAATAGTTTGTAGAAAGAAGAGGACTCTAGTTGAATATATCGACTGTTCTGGCCATGAGAACCCGAACATGTCGCCGACGCCGATGAACAGAGTTGATCCAGAAGCCGGAAATTGGTCTGGGGTCGTGAATGGAAATAGCCCAATTGCCGAAATCCCACCGGAGCCGATGAATGAAGATGACCCAGATGAGGAAATTCAGCCGGTGGTGGAGGAGGAGATGCCGGCGGAAATGAGAGAGCATATAACGGAAAGAATGGGTGGTTACCGTGTGCAAATGATAATCGAAAAGAAGTTGACGGCGACTGACATGAGGACGAATCAAGGGCGGCTGTCGCTACCGAAGAAGATGGTGAGAGTGGAATTTATGACGGCGGAGGAGGAGAAGATGTTGGAGCACCGGAGCAAAGGGGATGATGAATTGAACTATATCGACACATTCATAGTGGGATCCGATTTAAGAGTGAATCCAATTCGGTTCAAGAAGTGGCTAATGGGGAAAAATTACGTCAATTGTTTGGTCAACAAATGGAACTCTTTTGCTAGAGCTTATGGGCTCAAGACCGGAACTAAGGTTCGTGTTTGGAGTTTCAGGGTCGATGAAAGGGACGAGAACGACGTTGTTAAATCTGAATTGCGCTTCGCCCTGGTCAAGATTTAAGATGAATTTATGTGACAATGTCTTGGGCGACATAGTTGATAGAAGTTTTCGTATGTATACGTCCTCATTTGTTCGTAACGATTAGACGATGCTTACAAAACACACAACGTTGTAGTATCTCTGCACTACATTGATCGTAATTTTGCTTTCTACATTACACCTTATCTTTTGAATATATATATTTTTTACACTGATTCAATCTTATCTAATTATTTGTATATTTTTCAAGATTACGGACAATTTTTTAGCCCTAAAAAAATTAATTATAATTAAGCCTTACAAATCTATGCAATGAAAGTCTTATCAGTTGATAAATTTTAAATAAAGTTGCAACGTTTATTAATTTTGAGCCCAAATTTAATGAAAATTATAATTTTAGATAAAAAATAGTAATTATATATAGTTATGTAAATGAACAAAATTATTGCGCCTACTGCAACAAATAGTTCGCGTGGCCTAATGGATAAGGCGCTCGCCTCCGGAGCGGGAGATTGTGGGTTCGAGTCCCATCGTGAACGCTTTTTTATTTTTTCTTTTTTTAATTACTTTCCAAAATCCAAGGTAAATTTCAAACCTCCTTGTGGTAATGTTTTAGCTACAACCTTATGAAAGCCCATTTATAATTTATAATTTATTTTTACACTTAAAAAAGTGGACTAACTCAACTGGAACATAAAAGTTGAATTCGGTTAGAGAAACTGTTTGATTTTGATTGAATTCAAACTGATTTAACTATATGTCAGTCAAGTCAACTCAAGACACCACGGTACTTGGCCTGAAACTCCCATAGAGTCGTTCAAATTAAATAACGATTCAACGACAAGCGTTGAGGTTGACAATGATGTATGGAAAATGACCCAATTGCCCTCATTAGGGAACCTCATATATGTTCTTGACCATAACAAAATCAGGGGCTTTGAGGTCATCCTTGGGGATAACATATACCTATGATATGGTAGGGTTTGTAGAGTAACTAACCTAAACATTTACATTTATGGAATAATTTGGTAAGTAGAAGATGCCTGTCTAAATAGGGCACTAAAAATGAAGGCTGTACCCTTATTTAGGGTATCCCCATGATTTTAGGGCAGCCCTATAACTAGGGTTACCATTTCCAGGTGGGTAGAATATAGAATAGCCTGATTGATTTTTTTTTTTATTTATTTATTTAATTTTTCCTACTGGAATGTCACACCTTGTAGTTTGTAATTAATGTCTGATGATGAAGATAAATGGTTGACTAAATAAAGTCAAATGCAGCCATATTATTATTATTAATATTGATATTTAGCATCTCTTGTAGTTAGAGTTGTGTAAAGAGCGTTAAATTTTCGTGGACGTGTCAATATTTTTATATGTTCATGCGTTTGATATCGAGATAAAGGGTGAATCGACATTATTTTAGCATATCATAAAAGAATAGATAATATTATATATATAAAGTAGGGGTATTCATATGATCAGATAACTCGACCGACTCGAATTACTCAACCCAAATTATAAACGTTTGGATTGAGTCAGTTCCCGAGTTCACTTTTTTTTTTGGTCAGGTAAACACGACTAACTTGAAAATAGAATTATAACTCAACCAAACTCTACCTAACTTTTAAAATTATTATGAAAATTATGAATATTTAACGTTTGGTACTAATGTTAGTAATATTATTTGATATTTAAGTTTTGTGAATCTAGTTATTAATATAACATGTATTTTTTTAAATAATTAAAAATAACGACAATCCAATATAACTGAGAATGTTTGCTTAATACACCACAATTAAATAGTAGGAAAGTTATCTATTTATAATCAAATGAATTACAAAAATATGGAAAGAGTAATAAATGGAAATAAAGATAGGAAGGCAAATATTTAGATATTTGTCTTATAATAAAATATCAAATATGATATATATGGTAAACAATAATTTAGTTCTAAATATGTTAACAATAACCGAACTCGAAAATAAAGGACTAGTTTGGATTGAATTAGATTGTAAATTTTATTCAGATTGCTCGAGTCATCGACTCAACCAACCCAAAATTTCGAATAGATCCAAAAAAAATTATGACCCAACTCAATTCAACTCACGTGAAAAATCAGCAAAAAGTCATTAATATAAATAATCAACGTTTTGAAAATTTAGTTAAATATTATTTTTATTTTTTAAATTGTTTTCAAAATAGTTTTCTAACAAGCATAGGATATTTTGAGTAACTCTATTTTTTAAAATATTTTTTTTCTCTAAATATTTCTTTAGTTTGTTTGATTATTATTATTATTATTAGTATTTAATTGAATATAAAAAGATTATTTAAAAAAAACATTTATTAAATTAATTACTTTTTAGTTTATTGGGTGGAAAATGGTTGACAAAGAATTTGCAAAATATCTTGATTAATGATTCCCACTGTCATAGTATTGCTATATTATATTTATAAGTAAATCCTATTACAAAAAGTTTTAAATTCAATTATTTTTTATACAATTTATTATTCATTTTCATTTATTTATTCCCAATATTCATTTTCGAGCAATCTAATTCGAGCCTCAAAAGTTAACACAAGGCATAATCAAATCTCGAGGAAGACGAAGAATCAGGCCAAGGGCTAAGTTGTCAATTTCAACCTCTTGCATGCCTTGACCGAGAGCCCTTCGATAATCCTATTTTCACTTCTTCATTTCAAATTCGAGAGAATAATAAAATTCTACGTTAATCATTTTATACATACCTTAGGTTTCTCGAAAACTCTTGATAAAGCCAATAACCTCTAAACTAACTTAAATAGAGCAGAGCAGAGCAGACAGATTGAGATAGGTCTCTCGTTTTTATTAAGCCGACTCTTCCTCGTATTACAAATTTACTATTGAGTCACGTGCACGGTTCGATGAGCCGAACTTGTACATATAAACACTTTGGATTATTTATCTCAACAAGGACGTGTATTAAAAGTATAAATCCTTGTACTAAGAATTCATTTGAATACAAAAAGAAACAAACCCTAGATCATCAAGATCAAAAAGGATGAACAATTCATGCACGCGCCAAAGAGTGAGTGGGTGACAGCACAAATGTCCTTTTACCAATGGTCACCATCAACTCTTTTCACTGCTAAACTTGTCATCTTATGCTTCTTAACTTTACTGCCATCTCTCTCTCTCTACATCCTTCAACTCTCAGTTCTCTGATAATTTCCCCTTTCTTCATCTCTTTACACCAAAAAAACTCACCTTTTTCTTCTTCTTCTGCCAAGAACATATCAAGAACAGCCCTCTTTTGGCTTTAAAACATGATCATTTTCGATATCAATTGTGTTCTTCTCATCATGCCATGCAAAACCCACTTGGTTTTTTTCCTTTTCTGATCTTCCATTTCGAGTCAGTTCTTGATTTTTCATGTTTTTTCTTAAAAAAAACCCTAAATTGGAACTGGGTTCTCTTCAAAACCCTAAAAGATTACATTTGTATCCTACCCATAACAATAAGTTTCAATCTTTCAAGAGATTTCTCTATTACCTTACTGGGTTTTGTGGCTTTTTTTGAACTTTTAATGGATTTGTTCTCAAAATCATCATCCAATCCCATACCCATACCACCCACCACCACCACAACCACCATCACCGCCGCCGCGTGTTCGCCGTCATCATCCTCTACCACCACACCAAGCCGGTATGAGAATCAAAAACGGCGAGATTGGAACACGTTCTGTCAGTACCTTCGCAACCACCGACCGCCGTTGGCTCTACAAATGTGCAGCGGCGCTCACGTGCTGGAATTTCTCCGGTACTTGGACCATTTTGGGAAGACCAAAGTTCACAACCAAACCTGCCCGTTCTTCGGCCTGCCCAACCCGCCAGCTCCCTGTCCCTGCCCGCTCCGACAGGCTTGGGGCAGCCTCGACGCCCTCATCGGCCGCCTCCGTGCAGCTTTTGAAGAGAACGGCGGCCGGCCGGAAGCCAACCCATTTGGAGCTAGAGCTGTTCGTCTCTATTTAAGGGAAGTTCGTGATTTTCAAACGAAAGCAAGAGGTGTTAGCTATGAGAAGAAGAGAAAAAGGCCAAAGCAAAAGCAAAAGCAAGAGGGTGCAACTTGAACAAGAACACACAACAAATAAGAACATTAAAGTTTCATAATTACATAATATGTAAGAGAATTCTACTATCTCTCTTCCTGTTTTCAATTCGTAATTGCAAACGTTCTAACGAAGATTTGATTCTTCAGTTGAACTATGTTTATATTGGCTCTCTATACCTATTTCCAATTCGTAATTGGAAACGTTCTCACCAAGATTCAAATCTTGAATAGTTGAGCTATGTTATGTTCATATTGCCTTTCTTCTCTCGATCTTTGGATCTCGTTCGGCTTCTAACTTCAAAGGTAAATATTTATAATTACGATGATATTATCTCTTAAAAGCCATGTTTGTTTTTCTTGATCTTGAGGTGATTTTGAATATGAATTGGTGTTTGTGGGCAAATTTTGGTCGGTTTGTTCTTGAAACGAATTATATTCCAACTAAGCTAGGTTTTTTTTCTCTCTCTCATGTTCATCAAAAACAGCCAAAACTATTTATTAGGGTTGTTTTTTGGATTAAAAACACAAACTTTTCAAAGATCTAAACAATTGTGCAAAAAGACAAAACCCTAGATTAATTTTGGTCTGAATTGAAATGGAGAAAAAAAAAACCCTTAATTATGTCTACGAAAAATGGGTTTTGTCAAAAGATGGAAACAAAAGAAATGAGACAGCCAAATCCCCCATGTCTAGAAATAATTGACAAACACATGAATCATGTATTAGTTTTCATAAATTTGAACTTGTTAGATTACGGACAAAAGTTCGAGGACCGACCTTTTGAGGTGCGTATCTGATCTGTTAAATTTTTAAACCGTCTTATGGAACCCAATAAATTGAATTGAGTCGAGTTCGAAATTTGAGCGAATTGATGTCCTTTTGCTAATCGGTCCTCTTAATTAGTATTTATATTCATGATCATATGCATGGACAAAGGAAGAAGGAAGGTTGCCTCCCTCTCGGGTTGTCTTCGATAAACGACTCTGTTTATGACTGTTGAGAAGATTAAGAATATTTGACGTTTGTAACCAATCTTAGTGGTGCATTGTGACTTCCGAATGTTTGATATTTGAAATTTATGAGATTTTAGTTACTAATGTAATATGTACTGTGGATAGCAACCTGACAACCAAGTCCGAAACTAGAGAGTTGGATTGTGAACTTACTCGAAATTTAGAGTTGGTCCAAAAGATTTTTTCAATTCAACCCGAGTACACTCGTAACGACTCAGATCTAGCGCTAGCAAATGCAAATGGTATCAGAGTTAGACATCGGACGATGAGTCAGCCTTCTCGCTGTTCCCCGAAGGGGGTAAACACAAGGTGGTGTGCCAGTAAGGACGCTGGCTCCAAACGGGGGTGGATTTGGGGGCGGTCCCACATCGATTGGAGGAAGGAAAGAGTGTCACCAAGGACCCTGGGCCCAAAGGGAGGGTGGATTGTGATGTCCCACATTGGTTGGGGATAAGAACAAACTACTATTTATAAGGGTGTGGAATCCTTCTCCTAATAGACACATTTAAGGGAAGCTTGAAGTAGAAAGCTCAAAGAAGACAATATCTATTAGTGCTGAATCTGGGACGTTACAACATTGCTAATAAATTATTCTTTAGTAAGATTAAACATATACGGACGATTTGATATGTCACGTTACGAAAAGAAAAAAAAACATGTTTTTCATCTATAAAATTAGTTACAATAATTCAATCAATACACAAAACATTGCTCTTTTACCTAGGGAGACTATAGCTTTAGGTTGGCTCTTTTTAGGCAATGACATGAAATGACTACGCGAGGGAAGCAACTCATTTCGTAGGGCACGTATACAACTTCAAACTTTTTTTAGACTCAACTGGTTTCGGTATATTTTTAGATAAGAATGTGCAGGTCACTTTGTTGTGTCGACAATATCATGTCATTTGTAGACATTGTATACTGAAATAAACAGGATGAAACTTTTTCGAGAAATTTGAGATCTAACAAAGTCCTACGAGCAAGTAGTGTGGACATACCATGTCATTTGTAGTATTCGGTGAAAGAACAATAGTAGTGAATAACAAAATAATTATATTTTTAGTTTAAATTAAATAACATTATTTTTTTTTAGTTAATATTGGTTGAGTCAAGATGGAACCATTAACTTTTGGATGATAATTGATGTGAGTGTAACGGTCCTATTTTTACTACTAAAATTAAATTATTATTAATATGTTCATAATAAAATTATTAAACCGTTACGATAGCATAAAAATATGATATTAAACACAACGAGTGAGTAACAAACCATCAACGGTTTGAATGGTAGTAAATATCTTATCCACTAAATTGTTTAGATCAACATAAAAAACTAATATTTTAAAATTCAATAACTAAAAATAAATTAATTTTGAAAGTTTAATAATAAAAAATAAAATTAATAATCATTTCAACGTGTATTTTCAATTTAATTAAATTGACAAAATTCAACGATTTTATTTTTTTTTAGAGAAGAAAAAAGGAAAAGTATCCAAAAATTCACTAAATTTTGAAAAAAAAAATGAGTTTTTCACGCAATTAATTTTAATTAAAATTCCACCTGGGGACACGTAAGGGCAACGAATAGTCGTACAAAGATCCCGCAATCTGCGGTCAACTGGATGGGACGTCGGTTGTTGACACGTGCGCTTCCATGTGGTCCCCACAGTCCTCGTGATCCCACGTGGATCCATGTACTCCTTGTCGGCAACCAAGACGCTCCCTTATTTCCACTCAGCTCGGCTCGGTTCTGCCACGTTGGACGCCTAACAACCGTCGATTCCGCTACGAATAAATCCATCGTACGGCCCAAGAGTGGGTTCATGTTACCTTCTGACAAGGCGATGCATCGTTTCTATTTATGGTATTTAATTTTCTCGAGATTTGCTATTTTTAGAGTTTAATCAACATAATAATACTAAAATTTTCTATTTTATCTTTAAAAAAATATTCTTAAATTTAAAAAATTAGATATAATATTCTTAAATTTTTAAAAATATTCAAAAAAATACGGTTTACTTTAATTTCAAATAAAAAATCGTTAATAATTTCTTCCAAAAATGACTTTTTTTTATTTATTTTATATAGTTGATGGATATTATTAGAATTTTTTTAATAAATTTATAATAATAATAAAACAAGGGAATGTAATGTTTTTTTTTTTTTACCATTCAATTGTATTTTGTCACGTCGTGCTAAATAATCACTCAGTCTTACTAATAAATCGTAAACATTTAAATAACTATATCAACAAAAATACCTTATTAATGCATATATATATACATAATTATTATTTATTTATTTTAGTTATAAAATAAACATCTAGTATATTACCAATATGCCCTTTTATTATCCATTTCATTGTCTACCAAATAAAAGGCAATACCCTTGATGAGGAATAGACATAAAATACCCAAACTTGTTTGTAATTTTGGAGAAAAAGAAGGGTTTTTTGGGTTTTAGAAAAGTTGAGAATATTGAAGGTTTTTTTTCATAAAAATTCGTAAACATTATATTATAATTAATTAGACGATTTAATCTATACATTGATTTTGTCACATGTACTTTAGGATATTATAATTAATTATGTCAATAATGAAACTCGTTTAATATGATAAATATTTAATATTGGCAACAAAAGAATATAGTCTCAATTTCCAATATAATAAATGACAGCTTCAAGAAATTCATCACTATTTTCCCCTAATATTTAGTTGTTTTTTTGGGAGCTGGTGACCAATCATCATCTTTCCTTCATATAGATTTGGTCACCATTGGGTATTTTATCATTAATTTAATTTGTGTAATTCTCTTGCTTATAATTAAATGGATGTCTGTGTTCCACGTAGCCATTGGTTTTTGTAAACTATATTTTTAAATCCTTTATTTCTCTCACAATTATTTGATTAAATTATTAATGTGTTCCTTTAAGATTTAGCCTTACAAGCTTAATTTAGGATTATTGTAGCGTTATTGGTAGAACAACAATGTTACATTGTTCGACTTGTATTAGTTTTATATTTTCTACATAGATTAACCGATCATTTCACATCTTATTAGTACTTAAACTAATATTGACATAAGGTAAGCATTAATCGAGGCGTCGTAAGATTAAATTATGGATCTGAATTTGTTAAGTTGATGTGGTCCTAAGAGGTTCTCTAGCTTGTTTACCCGTGCAAATCAATACTAGTTGGCAACTTGATGCAAGAAATTCAACTCTTTGAGATTGAGGCTTACGTCAATCTATTTTTGTTTTCTGTGGACGGGAAATTCAAGAACCAGATGAAAGTTTTCACGAACTCATAGACAAATGGTACTTTTTCTAGACAGCCATCATTGATCCTCCCAAACCCGTTTCAAAGCCTTATTTAGAAATATCCTTGTGCGAGTTCATATTATCTCTAGTGATGGAAAAATTCAAAATAAAAAAACTCCATTCATCTATTTCCAACGCTCCGAGAATAGGCAGAAGGATCTATATCTATCCCCAACTTCCTACCAACTTAGAATGCTACTTACGAGTTGGTCAGGGATAAGTTCCGCTCACTTTTTTGATGTCATGCCATTGTGGTGCCACGAGAATCACTGAATGAGGGCACTTTTTATTTCATACAAGTACATTCAAACACAGCTGAACCAAAAGGATCCAAAATCTTACATCCATACAACATTAATGAGATAAGCAACTGATAGTAAAGGTGTCAATGTCAAAAACTTGTATCAAAAAAGATGTGGGGGAGATGGACTATTCTTTCAGAATTGATGAGAAAAGCAGTATTAGATGGAGAGGAAAGGAAAGAAAGAAAGAAAGGCTTAAAAAATATATATCTGATTTCACAAAGAAAGTTGAAAGTTCACACGAAAACTGGAAAAGGAATTGATATGTTTTATCAACACAATCTCTATCATGACTACGCTCAACTGAAGAGGAAAACGAAAGAAGGGGGGAAAAGGGCACTACCAATAACTAACCCACAACCCGAACTTGCTCGGAAACTCAATTTGCTTCCCAAACTCAGCTTAATCTCATCTCCTTTACTCGTCTCGTGTAATCGAAACCCGGATTGGCCTAAGGTTGAATGACAAACAAAGGCTGCAGAGAAACCAAAAGAAGGTTCAAGCCCACAAATCCATACAAACAAACAATGTAGAGTTAAGCTATTCATTACAGTAACTGTAATGGTGGTTAGAATGACTTACCACACCAACGCTGACAGGCTTCCCGTC